ATGGCCAAGCTGGCCAGAGCCAGCAGCTGCTGGGGCCTCTGGCTACTCCCCGTGGGCCAGGTCACAGCTGCCCCTTTCTGGTCTTCAGTGCGAGACCTCGACGTGGCACGCAGCAAGGGGCGGAGGGGCGGAGGGGGGAATGGCCCAGCATGTGCTGCTGGGAGAGAACCCGACTGTTCCCACCGTTCCCCCTTCCGTTCCCACCACCCTCACAGCGGTCAGCCACCATTCATGGGTATCGTGGTTCTCGGGCATGGTCCTACGCTAAGCATTCTACAGACATTAGCTAACTTGACCCGCACAAAACCTGTATGCGGCCGGCACTATTACCTTCCTTATTGCAGACATGAAGAAATCCAGGGCTGATCATGTAGCTAGGGGATGCCGCAAAGCCAAGATTCCAGCGCAGGCCTTCCTTCAAACCACGTGTTCTTAATTACACTAGTACACAGTATCCCATCCCCCAGAGGCCACAGAACAATGTCCCCTTTTTCCGAGCCAAGACTTCCCCGCTAGTTCTGTGCCTCCTTGCCCACAGGCCTCTCCCCCGCTGCCCCCAAATTCAAAGACTCGGTCTTGCTCCGAGACCCTGCCCTCCCAGGCTGGTCCTAAGGGCCAGGGCTTCTAGCTTGTGCAGCAGGTCACCCCTCACCCATCTCTTCTAGAGTCACCCTGGCTGCATGGGACAATGAAGGAGACTGCGTTTGCACCTTCAAAACCCTGGGCCAAGAGAAACCCGCTCTCCAAGCCACTTCGGCTTGAGGACGAGTGGGAGAAGGGAGGTGTGAGCCGGGCAGATGGAAGGTACTAGAGACCCACAGTGGAGGAGCCCACCACAGGGATGGGGTCAGCAGAGGAGACTGCTGGCAAATGAGAGCCTTGACGGAGTCACGAGAAGTGGGTGGCAGTGAGGAGGATGTTGAGCATAAGGTCAGAAAAGGGAGGGAGCACACGTGGGAGCTCAGAGCAGATATAAAGGATGAGACCAACAAGGTAAGTAGAGGCTGGGTTGCAAAAAGTCTCAAAGGTCAAGCAGGCAGGTGATCCTGGGCTTTCTTTTCTAGACTAAAGGCAAGTCCTGGGGGCTTAGGAGCAGGGTCACGGGATGAAGGGATTTTTTTTTTTTTTAAGGGGATTTAAAAGAGAAGAATCTGGTAGTAGTGTTTTGGGTAGAGATACTCTGATTATTCTTCCTAGGTCATACGCTATACTTTGTGCTTTGTTTTTAATGATCCTAATTCTAAAAGTAGAAGAAAAATATCTGTTTTGCTAGGAGTCATCCCAGCGGTTTTTGAGGTCTCCATGCTCCGAGCTTCCCTCAGCAGACGTGCACTGTGCATGGAAACCAGTGTGCACAGCCGGGTCTCAGCACAAAGGGCCTTCTGACACCGCAGCACCTGCAAGATCAGTTCCTCTGTGGCCAGAACTTCGGTGCGAGGTGTGGAGTTCGAGCCACTGAGACCCGGCTCCGATGGTCCCAGGCACAGCACAGCTGGAAGACCTCTGGATTAAAGAGCTTCACTTGGATGTAGAAAAACAAACCCAGTGATGGGAAGTGCACTCCTCACCTCTTTTCCCCCAGAACCTCCAGTGAAGGTTTTCGAATGCTTAAGACAATGGATGCAAACCTTTGCCAAAATGTCTGGCCCCCTGAGCGTGCTCTCTGCTGGCTGTGGCACCCCCTCCCAAAGCTGAGCAGGGGCTGGGCAGACAGGATTTCTGCTGGGTTCTAACCAATATTTTTCTATGTAGTTGGCAAAAGAGAGGAGGAACGAGAACCGGCCTGGGAGACAGAAAGCAGGGTTCAAGGTCAGGCTGCACCACGAGTAGCTCCAACACTAATAATCACCAGGTCCTTAGCCTCTCCTGGGCTTTGTTAAATGGAGGGTTTGTACCAGTCGGTCCCAACGAGTCCCCAAACCTCTAGTTTTGTTCAGCTGCCTTGCTTTTCACGACACGGCTTGCCATACACCACATCACAGTGAGAGTAATTTTCTTAAAGTACAAGTTGGATCCCCCTGTGTGTCCCAGGTCACTCCCCTGCCGTAAGTCCCCTGTCACACACACCACGCCCCCCACAAGCCTTACCGTCCCCTGCCCTGTGTGACTGGGCCCGTCACGGAGCTCAGTCTCCCTGGCTTTCTCTCAGTCCTGAACTCCCTTGCACCTTCAAAACCCTGGGCCAACTCCCTCTGGCTTTAGGACCTTTACACATACTAGCCTCTTTGCCTGGAATGTTCTCCCCCCCCCCTCACTTTCCACCTGACTCACTCCTATTTTTCAGGTCTCGATGAAGTGTTCCTTGCTCAGAGGGCTCCCTGACTGCTCCTTCTCACTCATTCATCACCCTCGATGATGGCCATTAACAGTTCCTATTCCTCACTGCACTTAATTTGTAACTTCACGTTTATTCACTGGGACGGTACCCTCTGCTTTCCTCATCGGATGGCAGATCCACAAGAGCAGAGACGGATTCCACTTTGCTCACCACTGGACACCCAGTACCCCCGTCTCTATAAACATTTGCTGAACGCACACTGCCGGGGGTGCACACAAAAGCCAGCATCCCCATATCTCGGGGTGGGCATCGGGGGCCTTCCGAGCTAGACACGTCCTGTCCCGCCCCGGTTACAATGTCCAATCTCTTATCTGTCAGCTGCTTTTGCCCTTCCTACTTCTGAGAAACACTCAGCTTCTGTGTGAAAATAAATGGACAAGCATCTTGGCCAACAGTTTAAAGATGGTCACGAAGGAGGAAAGAGCCTGAGTTCTGCGAGTATGGATGCCACTCCAGCCCCAACGTTCATTTCATTCATTCATTCGTGGCTCACACCCCACACTTGAGCTCATCCCCTAAAGAAAGGGCATCAACAACTTGCAACCCAAACCCTTGGCTTCAGAGCATTCAGAAGAGAACTCCCCACGAGCCTTCCTCCGGAAACACAGAAGCTCTCCCGGCTGACAGCAACTAACACTCTGCCTCGGATAACATCAGAGCAGAGAGGTTCAGAGGTCTGAATTTGAAAGGATGCAGCTTCCTCTCTGTGTCCTCAAACCCAAGGGCAGTGGGACACCTTTTTCTGGTCACAGTGTTTAAGCACCCAAGTTAAACTAACTTTCTTCACCGCATTCCTGCCTTTCTATACAGAGGCTCATTCATCAGAATGTCAGTGGAGAAACAAAGACAGCTGACTGTTTTCTCCCCTAGTGCCTATAATTAGATTCTCATGGAGAACTTGGCCACGACAAGGCTTTGCCGGACAAATACTCCCGCCCCCCCCCCCCACCACCCGCACTCCCCCAGCGTCTCTCTTGCCCTCATCTTCAGGAGACCCAGATAAAGCAGCCAGTCACTTACCCGCTTCAGCCACGCAAAATGCTTGTAAACATCAATGTCCCCATCCATGCTGGGCACCCATGTCAGCAGTTAGAGTCCTTGGTGGAAAAAGCCCTTTTTCTGGCTAGAGACCAAATTCTCTCCTCTTCCTTGCTTCTGCCCCCTCCCCCTTGGGACGTCAAGCTGTGTTCAAGTTTCCCCACTTCCCTGGCCCATGTCCTTCAGCGTTTCCCTGGACAGTTTCAGATACACAACGGCTCAGACCGGACTGTGCTGCCCTAGTATCCTCCCCCTCCAGCCCCGGACACACACGGGCACCAGCTCTGGGACTCAGAGCCTGTGGAGCAATCAACCCCAGCAAAAAGGTAGGGAAAACAGACAGACTTGGACAGGAGTTGTAAACACACACACACACATACATACACACACACACACACACACAGGAACATTCTTTTTGGTGATAATACCAGAGCCTGCCAGAGGGAAACAGTCCCGAAGAAAATTCCTCGTCTGGCTTCCCCTTTCTGCAGTGGCTGGAACTCATTACCGAGAGACCCCGATTTCCTGTCTCTGCTCCACTCTGCATTTACCCACGGGCTCCCAGCTGCTCTCAGTTTATTTGGGACTGGGGAGAAGACTAAAAATAAATGCTGCTCTTGGAGGAGCTGCTGGTTCCCACACACAGCCTGACCCCCACCCCGAAGCCCACGCCTACCCCTTTTCCAGGCGGGCGTCGGGCTGGGCCCTGAGGAAAGCCTGTCATTTCCAAAAAAAGAACACATCCAGAACCAGCTCCGGTCTGGGTTGCTGGCCCGCTGGGCGTCTCTGTCCTTGGAGCTGGTGGCACCGTCTGCCAGGGGCGACCTGCTACTACCAGGAGACATGTGCCATCGGAGGAGGTTGGCTTGGGGCTGCTGTCGGCCCCACCACGGCCAGGCCTCCCCAGGGCACAGGCAGCGCCGGGACGGGTACAGCTCCTGTTGAGCCCGAGGCCTGCCTTGCTGGCTCCCCCCCACTCCAGATTAGCTACCTCAGAAGCCAGGGGCGGGGGAAGGCGAGGCCCCCTCATGGGGGGGCCCACACGATGTAGGGAGAGCTCTGGGGAGGAGCCCTGGGAAGGCAGGGGCTGGTGCAGCCGGGCAATTGTTTCCTGGGCTGGCCTTCCAGGGTGGTCTCCCCAGCACTGCCTGCCCCTCCTCCCCGCCAACGCTGCCCTCCACTCACCCCCCACTCTTCTGAGAGCTTCCCTAAACACAGCTTTTCTCCCTCGCCTGGCCCCTAACGTGCAGCCTTTGGCTAGAGTGATGATGAAAGCAGTCCTTGATGTGGGTACAGCGGGAACTGGGGTTACACGCCAGGCCTCTGAGCTCTGCTCCCGTAAATGACTTGCAGATGCACGTCTTGTGATGGCGGGGGGCGGGGAGGCCTTCCCGGTGCCCTTAGGGGTCACCAGGGGGGTTCCTGGAACAGCCAGTGAAGAGGAGGCTCTCCTGGATGTCGGCAGGCCCCTTCACGTGGCCTCGGCAGCACAATCACCAGCAGGCTGGCCCGGTCCGCAGGGATCAGAGCAGCAGGGCGAGAGCTTGGCCAGCGGCGGGCACGAGGGCAGGAGTAAATTCCTGGAGACACACCCAGCTCAGAGGCTAGAAAGGAAAAGCAGGCTCTGCCATCGCGCCTGAGCTCTGGGCCCTTCTCGCCTCTGGCCCAGTTCAATCAAGGCCTGGGCCCTCCCCGGTCGAAGTTCCCTGACCAGAACTAGCATGGAACGTGTTGGGGAAACAGCTCTCTACGGTTGCAGGGGTAGGTAAGCTTTGTTTTTTTTCTGTCTGAACGTCTGGGAAAGCAGAAGGAAGAATTCACTTGGTCAACAAATATTTGCCCAGCGTCCAAAGCAAATGAAACCGACTTCCTGCCCCGAGCAAATAAAGAATCATCACATGGTATGTGGTAAAGGTGTTTCTGGGGCCCTAGGGAAGAAGAGGCAGAGTGGGTTTGGGGGCTGGATGGGGAGAGACGGGGCACAGTCCCAGACCCTGCTCCCCTTGGTCGCAGCTTGGTGCTCTTCGGTAGGTTCTGGGGTGAGGAGGAAAGAAAGGACAAAGCAGCAATGTGGTGGCCTGTCTCAACCTTGCTAGCCCCCACCTGCCCGCGGGGTTGGCTCCAGTGGCCGCCCCTCCTCAGCGGCCATGCCCCTCTCCCCTTCACCACCTGTCTTGTTGTACTGAACCACCGTGGACCGTTGACAGGTCTGTGCACTGCGCCAGACTGAAGAACATGTGTCTGAGCCCTGACCTCCATGCCTGCCAATAGTTCTTGACACACAGTAGCAACTTAAACATTCTTTGAGTGAAAGAGTGAGGCTCATGTGGTAAGACTGGCAAGATCAGCCTAAAATTCTACTCGGAGAGCAGGAGTCTTGAAGGTGGGTTTCCCCAGGGAACAATGCTCCCACTGAGAGGAAAAGATGGAGTTCACATGTGACAAATGTGAGGAGGGAGGGAGGAGAAGGGGAAAGGAGAGGAGGGAGGAATCCAGACAAGTTACAGCTAAATTCTTGACATATTTTTATGGTACCCTCAAGTCGCAATTCCTACCTCAGTCGTTAAAAAAAGAAAAAGAAATAAGTGTTATTTTATAATTCAACTCAAAAATTCAGAGTTAACACTCCAAAAGACCTAGGAGCAGGGCATGTGTGTGGCTGGTGGGCGGAGTGACCCAGGACACGGGAGCCATACGCACCTTTCACTCACTGACCCCCAGGTGGCAGGTGGGCCCTGGGCATGGCCCCGTCATCCCGCTCCCAAGGCAAACCCATGGCTGCACCACCACCTCACTCAGAAGGCCATCCCGGCCCGGGGCACCTCACAGTGGTCCACAGGCAGGCAGGCTTTGGGGGGATGAGATAAGCCCCTGAATAGGTTCATAAAATACATACATACAAAGTACTATTTGGATCTATAAATCACTATTTCTCTGAAAACAAAGTTTCCAGATTATCAAAATGATCCGTGACTCCCAAAGGATTAGAAGCCTGGGTTTTTTCTGGCCTATGCAGTTATTCTGAAAGGTTTAACCTTCCCTTGAAGGAGAGTGGGGGATGGTCCTCCAATCTAGTATACCGCCTCAGACCCACTGCTGAAGAGCATTCTCAGGAACCACAGGGGGTACACAAATAGGGGTTATTACGGTGACCCTGAAAGCCCTGGGGCCTTCCCAAAAGCAAGTCACTCCCCAGCAACCACACTCAACTCATCACCGTCTGGAACATGAGGTAGCCAGCTGAGGGCAAAGAGCACTACACTGAGCGACTGAGCGTCTGGGGCCTAAAAACACAGCTGAGCGCAGAGTAGTCAGGTTTGGACAGGGAAACTCAGGTAGCTTGCCCCCTTCCTCATCCCAGGGCTTAGCAGGGAACCCCAGGAGAGTCACCTCCATGGCTGGACGCCCACACACGTGTGAGAAGGACTGAGGATGGCTTCCTAAGGTTCTACTTTCCCCGCCAGGAGTCAGCAGCATCTAATCGGGCAGAATGTGGACTGAGAAGGGGTCTCATGGGTCACGTGCCATTCTGACCGCTAGCTCAGCCCTGAGCCTTGGGCTCTGGTGACAGGTGTCAGGATGGCCGTGGAGTGCCAGATACAGGTTTGTGTCCTTCAACAGGTGTGCTGCACGGTGGGCCTGCCACTGGGGAGGTGGGGCGGAGCCGGGGGGAGGCTCAGCCCAAGGACACTGCTCCTTTGGGCTGGTAAGCAAGTCCTGCTTGTAAAACAGCATCCTGACCACTGCAGCCCAAGTCCCCATGGGGCACAAACACCTGAACCCACCACAAGTAGTTGGGACAAGGAGCGGCTGACTCTTCCCAGAAAGGGCCGGCCCATATGGTCTTGGTTATACTCAACTCTGCCATAAGCAGCCACAGCTAACACATGAACTAAAGAGTGTGGCTATGTTAACACCTAATATTTGTGGACACTGAAATTAGGATTTCAGACCATTTTCACATAAAATATGCTCATCATGTCTCAATCACTGAAAAACATAAAAATCATCCTTAGCTCATGGGGCATAAGAAATAGACAGTGAGCCAAATGCAGGCCATAGGTTGCTGACCCCTGGCTAGGGCTATATTCCCCTGTTTTGAATTAATCACCTGGGCTGGAGGGTATTCTCATAAAAATGCAGATTCTGACCCAGAAGGTTGAGAATGGGACCTGACACTGTGCATTGCTAACAAGCTCCCAGGTGATGCTCATAATTGAGGATCTCAGGACCATATTTGAATGGTCAGAGGTTAGGAAACCACTTTCAGAAGTTTCTTAAAGCACAGGGTATTGAGCAAGTTTGCCTGGAAGTACGAATCCTCCGGAGCCCCCCTCCCTCCCTACCTACCAGTGGTGCCTGAAAGGGCAGAAGGTTCCTGGTGGGTGCAGGGTGGGTGGGTGTCTACATGCTCAGACCCCAAGTTATGCTAACCTGGCAACATCAGCTACCACGTCCCCTGGGCCTGAAGTAGGACACTTAGTGGGGAAGGGTTTATTTGCTCTTTTATCAGTGTTTGCACATTCTTGGTCATTTATAAACATTGGTTCTCAGGGACTGAAAGTTTCCTCAAGTCAGGTCTGAAAGGAGCCAGACCTCTAGAATTTAGGAGGTGGGTACAGTTTACTGGGGGGGTTGGGGGGTGGCAGCAAAACTCTAGGAAAGTGAAAGCTGCTAAGTTTACAGTAGCTGCAGGGTCCCCACTATGAGATGCTATGCCAGGAAAAATGTATTAAAAAGATCCAAGGTGCAGGTTTCGTCTAGGGCAGGAAATGCCTCTTGGAATGGAAGGAGCCATCCAAATAGCACCCCAGCAAAAGGCACTGGAACGAAGGGGTTTGGAGAGGTCTTCTCTGCCTTGACAATGGAAGGGCAGGTCTCTGCTCCTAGGAGCAGCCCTCAGCCCTCCCATTTCCTCTTCCCTAGCACAAACAGTAGAGGCCTCTTCAGGCTTGCCCTTTGTCCAGTGGGTTCCAAGGATGGGAAAGAACTCTTGCAACTGAGACAGGTATGCTGTCCAGCAGCTTCATTAATGAGGAGCTTAGGTCATCTAATTGAAACAAAGCTATTTTTCTTACATAAAGCCTGTACCTTCTTCCTTGGGATTTAGACTTTCTAGCATTTATCCCTGACTGCCACCTAGCAGCTGCATCCAGTACTGCAAGGAACAAAAAACTAGACTAGCACACCAGCCCTGCTCAGGGAAGGAGTCCCTTGGGAGCGAAGCACACGGCGGGGGTGGGGGTGTGTGTGTGCCTATACCTATGACTTTCAGTTCTCACTGGGAAAGGCAAATTGGCTCACATAAGCTCTATTTTTTTTTTTTTTTTTACCTTGAAATGTAAGCACCAAGTTTCCCTTCTCTCAAAATCCAGAGGAAGGGATGTTTGGGTGGCTTAGTCGGTTAAGCATCTGCCTTCGGCTCAAGTCATGATCCCAGGGTCCTGGGATTGAGTCCTACATCGGGCTCCTTGCTCAGTGGGGAGGCTGCTTCTTCCCCTGCATGTGCTCTCTCTCTCACACACACAAATAAATAAAATCTATTAAAAAAAAAAAAAAGATCCAGAGGAAAAAGCTTCCCTATAAAACCCCTGTAACTTTTTAAAATGAGTATGTCCAACATGCATATATTCTGATCCATCTTTTGTTCCAGGCCCTGGGTGGAGAATAAAGATACAGAGATAAATCACATGGCAGAGGAAACAAGCTCACAGCTCATAACTCATAGAACAGCTTTTTCTCCCTACCTTTTCTTGTAACTCCTCCGGCTTTTCAATATGGTAAACAGATTTGCTTCTTTGGCCAGAATGAAAGATTGCAAGCTGAACCCGGCAGGACCGGCAGGGGGCTCTGTTGGAGGAGCTGGGAGCTGAGGAAGCAGCCATCTGGGACAAGGTAGTGGAGCAATGAGCGGGTGGCCCTCCTGGGCCCGGGCCACTTTGTTTCGTGAAAGACTAGTGAAGAAGGAACCAAGGGCTCCTGAAGCTACAGCAGGCTGTCAGAGGTGAGCACAGAGGCTACAGAGGGCCTCGCTTCCCCGCCATCCCATTTCACTGCTCCTGAGAGGTCAGCCTCTGCCAAGCCCAGATCGTGGGGCAGCCGTAACCAGAGAGGGTCCCTAACCTGTCTCCATTTTGGAAACCAAAACACCTTGGCTGGGGGAAGGCCATGGCTGGTGCCGACCACAACGCCAGGACTAGAATGCCTGGCCAGATCTTGCAGGCAGATTGTCAAACCGGTCACTTCCAGTAGGGAGACAGAGGAGGGAAGAGGTTCATCCAAGGTCACATGCGAGTGGCAGGCCACCGGTCTCTTAACTCATCCCTACCTCCCACGCTGCCTCACCCTGGTTCGGTGCTGCCCAAGCACACTGGCCAGGGCACCTGCACCCTTGTGGAGGAAGGTCAGGGCTCCCGCTGGGAGGCTGAGGCGCTCCGGGAACCCTGCCTGCAGACAGGGGCCTGGTGTACGGTCCCGCTGCAGGTTCCCTGCCCACCTCTGCACTTGTCCTCACTCTGCTGCTGCTGGCTTGGCCTGCCTTTCCTTGGACTTCATCTTGAGCCCCTGGAGCCTCAGGTCTTTATGCAGGATTCCCCTGACCCACATCCAAAGCCATGAAACAGCAGGCTAGACCTAGCATTTTTAGGATGAGAGGAGGCATCTGTACTGAACGGTTACAGAAGCCCCCGAGCTGCTCCATCTGGAGATGCTGCTGGTTCTGATAACTCTTGGGCATCACCCAGCGACCTGAGTCACCACCCTGGGCTAGCTGGCTGTCCCCAATCCTGCGGAGCCCACTGGGAGCTGGAAGACTAGTCCTTCCTATGGGCTCTACCCCCAGCTCAGCCCTGGTTCCTAACCAGCCTCCATTCAGCCAAGGCAAGCAGGCATAGAGGAATGGTGACACCCCCTTCCAGGCCCTGGAAAAGCCCTACTCAAGGTCCAGCCGGATTCCGGGATGTGGCCATAGCAGCCCCAGCGCCCCCTTGCTTGTGCTGTATGGCGGGGCCAGGGCGCCTCCAGCCATTCTGGCCTTCAGGACCACCTGGTGGGATTGAGGGGCTCTTGACCAGAAATGGCCATGCTCTCCCTGAGGGCATCATCCGCACTCCACCACAGGTTGAGGTGGCGGCTGCAGGGAAGTGAAGGAGGCCACCCCTGGTGGAGCTTAGCTCCGTGTCCATCACAGCAGAGAGGCCTCAGCCCTGCAGCCAGGGCCTCAGCTTCGTCCTCTCTAGTACTGACCCTGAGCTGGGCCTGGTCTACCCAGTGTGAAGGACGACCCTTTCCTCCCCTGAGCTGGGCCTGGTCTACCCAGTGTGAAGGACGACCCTTTCCTCCCCTGAGCTCAGAGAGGACAGCCCCACGGAAGCTTCTCTGCCGGTCAGGCCCTGGCTCACCCTGGACCCCAGGACAGTCTCCCTACAGAAGGGCCTTATCAGAAGCTCCCAGCTACTCTACCAGCTTCCTGGAGATAGGCCCAGCATTCAGACACAGATACCACTTCCAGGACAAGGGAATCTGGGCACTTGGTTCCTTTCCTCACTGAAGCCCCAGAGGGGGTCCTCAGGTTAGAGAGCCCAACACATACTTTCTGGGCCCAGAGCCCACTTTTCCTCATTCTACTGCCTGCCAAGGAAGGAAAGACCCTGTTTTAGGCCCCAAATCTCTGGAAACTCACTCACCACACAGCACCACTGAATCCTGGGCAGGTCTGCTGCACTGGATCTTTAGGAGTCTGGCCTGTTTCTAACCGTCCCCAGGCAGAGTCTTCACTGCTGCCTACCGTTCTCCATCCAGCCTGCCAGCTCCCGGCAGAGGGAGAGCCAGCCCCACTGTAGAGAGACACAGCTGCCTGGGGTACACTAAGACCAGGAGCTCCTTCTCCACCCAAGACAAAGGCAGAGCCCAGACTCACCTGCTGTTTGTTCCTATTCGAGCCACCACCCATTCCCCCACACCCACCTCTGCCTCCACAGCACCTGTTCTCCTTGTGTACCCCAGATGCCGACATGGGAGTCTGAGGGTCCACAGCACAGAAGACAGTGTCTTCTACCACACGATCCTCTCACCACGCCCAGAGGCAGCTAATCCACAGCTGTGTGTAAATGGAGGGTCTTTAATTTCCATTTCTTTTGCACCTAACATCTCTTTGTAGGCCTGGAGGACTTGACTCAAAAATTAGGAGGAGGCCAGTTAGATTCTCTCCTTCAGGAATTTGAGTCTCTCTCTCTCTCTCTCTCTCTCTCTCTCACACACACACACACACACACACACACACACAGGGAATAAATGCAAGAGAGAAAACATGAAAAGAATTTGTCAACAAGAAGACTAAAATCAAGTCTAAAGGCCATGTGGCAGTTGCTCTGGGTGGTCTTTCTAAGAGCCATTCATGCCCCCTCCCTCCCATCATGGTTCCTTCCAGACAGAGTGCCAATACTTGTTTCCCGGCCTCCCTTGCAGCTAGGGTATGCACATGTGAACAAAACTGGACCTTGGGAGCATATGGGAAGTCTGCTACAGGGCTTCAGAGAAAAAGATTTCCCTTCTTAATTACAAAAAAAAGAAAAGAAAAGAGAAAAAGAAAAGAAAGAAAAAAGAAAAGAAGAGAAAAGGAGAGAAGAGAAGAGACAAGACAAGACAAGACCTGTCCCACCTCTGGACATGCTGCCTGGAGCTGCAGTCGCCATCTTGCAGCATTAAGCGATACCTCTGAGGAAACACCAACCCCCTAAGGGAGATGGGGCAGAAAGATGGGAAGAGCCAGAGCCCTTGTGGTCATCCAGAGCCACTGATTTTTTTTTTTTTTTTTAAAGATTTTATTTATTTATTTGACAGAGAGAGAGATAGCGAGAGCAGGAACACAAGTAGGGGGAGTGGGAGAGGGAGAAGCAGGCTTCCCGCCGACCAGGGAGCCCGATGTGGGGACTCGATCCCAGGACCCTGGGATCATGACCTGAGCCGAAGGCAGACGCTTAACGACTGAGCCACCCAGGCGCCCCAGAGCCACTGATTTGACCCTGGGACCGCCCATCTTCTGGGTATCTTGTAAGTGACATATAAACCTCCTTACTGTCTATGCCACTTCTCCGGAGAAAGAACCACCAACTGATAGAGAGGTCACGAGGCTGTGCTGGACCACACCGGGCCAACAGATGACCAAGCAGTAACGTGGGGATACGGCAAAGCCAGCTGACTAAAGAGGAGAACAGCACAAACACACAAGGCACACAGAGGCATAAACACTGCCTGCCCGATCCTTCAAGCTGTCTTATTAGTTCCTATTCTAAGCCACATGTACTTTTTAAAAAAATAATTTAACTGAGTCTCTGTGGTTTAAAGCAGTGTGTCTCAAGCTTTTAATGTGAATATGAATCATTGGGAGATGGTTCAGTGGGTAAAAGGGTGGGGGGGGGCGGTGCATATTCTGCCCTTTTATAAAGACACCAAGCAGCAAGCAAACTACCAGGGGATGACAAGGTTGCTGGTCCACAGACTGTAATTTAAATGGCAAAGTCTTCTATAAGTACCAATCTAAAAGCAATTAAAAAGTACTGGTGGATTTGTTCACTACTTCGGACTCTATTTCCATATGGGTACGACCTACTATGGAATGTGTATGCCCCCAGAATATAAAAGGACTTTAGGCTTGCAAGATCCAATACATAGACAGGCTGTCTCTGTCCAGAATCAAAACTTCACATCCTGTCTTGGTATCCTGGAATGTTTATATGAACTTTTGACCCACCCTCAAAGTACACCATTCATAGGTAACTGATGGCCATAATTACTCTAATAGACTCTGAATGCAACACAAAGTTCAGGAAACTCTTTCCAAAGGCACGCATTCCCCCCAACCACCCTAAAGAACCTCAATACATCTACAAATCTTAATATAAGCAGTTTTCTGCAACACATCTTGAAAAACCAACAACCATGTTGACTGCCTTTGGATCAAAAAATATTTAAGAATCCTTTTTTAGTAAGTTATAGAAGTTAGGTCCGTATTTCACATCACACACTAAGAAATATTGCAGGTTAGCCCTAAGATATAAATCAAACCATAAACTTACTAGAGAAGATACAGGTGAATAGTATTTGACTTGAGGTTAAGAAAGGCCCTTCTAGGGATAAAAGGAAAACAAGAAACCCGAACAGGAAAGATAGTTAATTACAATCCTTGTAAAGTTTTGTCTCAAAAAGCACCACAAACAGCATTTAAAAAACAAAGTGAGGAAAATGCCACAAATAAAGCAAAGGGCTTTAAAAAGGTCAATATAGAGGGTGGGGTGGGAGGGATGGGGTGACTGGGTGATAGACACTGGGGAGGGTATGTGCTCTGGTAAGCGCTGTGAATTGTGCAAGACTGTTGAATCTCAGATCTGTACCTCTGAAACAAATAACGCAATATATGTTAAGAAAAAAAAAAAAAAAGAAGAAGAAGGTAGCGGGAGGGGAAGAATGAAGCGGGGGAGATCGGAGGGGTAGACAACCATGAGAGACAATGGACTCTGAAAAACAAACTGAGGATTCTAGAGGGGAGGGGGGTGGGAGGATGGGTTAGCCTGGTGGTGGGTATTGAGGAGGGCACATTCTACATGGAGCACTGGGTGTTATGCACAAACAATGAATCATGGAACACTTCATCTAAAACTAATGATGTAATGTATGGGGATTAACATAATAAAAAAAAAACAAAAAAAACCCCCAAACAACAACAACAACGACAAAAAAGGTCAATATAGAAGAAAAGCACTAAAATCCTAACAGGAAGAGGAAAGAAGAGCATAGAATATGAACAGGGTGCGGTAGGGACACCCACGGTGATCTCTGGGGTGTGTGGGAAGAAAAGATTAGTGCTACTTTTTTAACCTGACCCTTAAAAAAAAATCTCCATTTGGGGCTTTGTTTTATAATTTACATATATTAGGACAATACTGCCTATATAAATATGAATGAATGGAAATGAATTTTTTTTTCCAGATAGGGTAGAGTTCAAAACTTTAGAGACCATATAGAAGAATACTAAAAAAAAAAAAAAAAAAAGTGTTTAGCCTTCCACTAGGCAAAGAAATGCAAAAGTGGTAAAAACACATTTTTTCCCCTAAGAAATTAATAAAGCCTTTTTTTTTTTTTTTTAATCTTAGTGATTGTTGTTGATCAGGATGTACCTCAAACCCTGCCAGTGAAAATATAAATGAGTAAAATCTTCCTGAAAAGTGGTTTGGAAAAAATGTGTCAAAGGCTTAAAGATATTAATACCCTTGGATTAGAGTTGCCAGATTTAGCAAACTGCATGGGACATACTTACTAAGATTTATCCATCGCTTATCTAAAATTCTAGTTTAACGGAGTATCCTGTATTTTGTCTGTTAACTCTATTTAATTCCACCTTTAGGACTCTACCTTATGGAAATATCTACAGAGAAAGACAAATATTCCTGGACACTCTCTGCAGCAAAGCTATATATTGGTGAAAGATTAAAAAGAACCTAAATGTCAGTATTAGAGAAATGGTCACATAAATTCAGGCATGTCCATACAAGGTAGAAGTACGTAATCATTGTAAACTATGCAGTGAGGGATAAAACCATGAGCTGTTTTCCGTACTCTGGGCAGACTGGGCTTTTGCTGGGGAAGCTGCTTCAGTGAATCTCTTGGTTATGATGGTAAAGGTCCCGAGCAAGCTGAGAGGGGACATTTAAAACCAGAGGCTAAACTGCTCTGCAGCCTGATGGCAGGATTCAGGGAATAGTGGAAGAGGCTCTGTCTGGAAGTTTCCAACGGGCCCCTGGCACATGGTGACAGGCCAGCCCAAGGACAGAGAGAGTCAACAAGTGACTTTAGGAGAATTCTGGCCGATGGATAGTGGGAGCAGTGACATCCGATATCCAACATTTGGTTTCAAGTTTTTGTTTTCTACACACAAACATTCCACATGTAAACTCACCTTCCCTTACCTGCCATTCTGAAACCCCCAAAGCTCTGAAGACCAAAAGGTTTTGTTTTGTTTTGTTTTTAGAAATAATGTTGGTGCCAAACTTATTTGGCAGCCTAACTGGACCTGAGCTAACAGGAGAATATTTATAGCCTTTTTTTATCCCACTTCATGTGGATATTCATACGTTTTGCCGAAGAAAGGTCAATGCGTTCCTGCTCCATATCTGCTAGAGATAGAATATATTCTATGGTATAGATGCATGGTCTTGCCCTTCTGAAGTTTAGTAAGTTCTGGGTTCCAAAATGCATCTGGACCCAGGGTTTCAGATGGAGGGGCTAAGGACCAGTAATTCTCTTGAGGCGTCATCAAGTTCCCTTTAAACACTGCAGCCGGAGTCAATCGGGCGAGCAGGAACGGAGGGGTGGGTATGGGTGAACACACTGGGGGAAAGTGGACCTTGGAAAGCTCAGCTGTCTGCACAGGTGGGCAGAAGATGGTCAGAGGGACTGGAGAGAGGCCAGGCACAGCCCAGAGCTGGAAGTATGGGAAGAGCCAGAATTCCTGACGGAACTCCAGGGAAGCAGAGACCCTTCTGGCCTGGGACGGGAGACAGAAGGAAACTCCGAAAGCCCCCCTACGAAACCCGACCACAGGTTGGAAAAGGGGGGTGGAGGAGCAGATGCGGCTTTCCGTCTGGTCGTGGCACAAGTCCGAGAGACCACCAAGGACAGTCTTCACTTGGAGGTGACACGAGGCGATTCTCAAACCTAGATGGCAACATGCCCTCTAGAGACCCATCCCGAGGGCTTCCCCCGCTTCCCCAGGCAACATCCAGCTGTATCCCCTGTTGCTGCCTTCACAAATGCCTGCAAACCTTGTGGCTTCCAACAAGGCAAGCACACGCTCTCACAGCGCTGGAGGTCAGAAGTCCCCAGTGGGTCTCGCCGGCTGGAGGCTCTAGGGGAGGGCCACCTTGCTAGCACCCTCCCCTGGGCTCCTGACTTGCTTCCATCTGGAAAGGCTGATTCACACCGCTCCCACACCAACGCTTCCACTGTCTCCTTCCACTTGTAAGGACGCCAGGGCCTGCCTGGACAACCCACGCCGCTTGATCTTCCTATTTAAACTCTGCTGATTAGCAACCCTAATTCCCTCTGCTACCTTCCCCTTGGCCACACATGTACGGTAACATTCACAGGATCTGGAGATTAGCACACAGACGTCTTTGGGAGGCCACTACTGTCCCTACCGCATGGGTGTAGGGATGTTACAGAACACCAGGCAGGCAGCCTGCATACTGAAAATATTGAGTACCACATGAACATAATGAAGAACTCTTTGGTGTTCAGGGAGGCGTGGGTAGAAGACTGTACTGACGGAGGACTCCTGAACAGAAAGTCATCTAGGACAGCTGGCATGTAACCTGTCTTATCGCAAATGACTTGGCCTCTGGGCGAGGATGTCTCAATCTCCTTGGTTTCCAACATCAACCTCTACCTCCCAGTTTAGTGGGCCCAGTCCTGCCTTCCCACCTCGGTGTGTACTTTCCCGTTTGGAATCAGTCTGCAGGACTCTAGCTTTAGAAGACTGCATTTTGGCTTTCATCCTCAAACTCAGCTCAGGCAATCCCACGCTCCCTCAAGCTTCCCAGCTTCCTCCCTCCTGCCCTGGAATGGTTGCATCTTAGACACGTCCTCAGCGGGGCAAGTTCTTCACCTTCCCCCATCCCCGAATATCACCAGGCTCTTAAAGTTGAGCAGATGGTCTCCTCAGGAAAGGAGACAGGTCACCAAAGCCATGTATTTACAGCTCTGGTTACTCATCTGCCTCCCTCAGAGACTAGCAGATGTGCAGCCTTGATTTAGAGAGAGCAGGAGGGGGGTCAGGCACACTGCATCCCACTCTAGGGACAAAGTGTACCAGGGCAAGGAGATCTGAAGGGCAGGGGCGGCAGTGAAGGGCTGGGTGAGGGGACCAGCTGTTGTAAGAGACAAGGAGCAGGGGGGACAGCTGAGGATAGAGACCCCACCTGGGGATCATAATTTGGAAGTTGTACTTGTACTCCCGCAGGGAAGAACTCTCCTCTGGCCCTGGATGTCCCCCAGTCTCAGAGAGCGTGACTGGAGCCCACAGGCAGTCTGACCGTGCGGCTTCAGCTGCTGGCCTGGGGCTCCCCCCTCCTGCTGGAAAGGACCACCCAGTGGGGGCTGGCCAAAGCCGGATGGGAAGCAAGAAGAGGCTGGAAGGTGCACAGATGAGGAAATAGTCCCAGGCAGTGTGGCATTCCGTACGCCCCGTGGTTATGTGGTTATGTCCCCCAGTGGCTTCCCGAACAGGCCACGGGCCCACTCACCAAGCTCTCCTTTATGTAGGCAGCTGTGGGGCCCGGGATCTGGCTCAGGAGGGCTGCTCTCTCCTGAGGCTGCTCCAGCATCTCCAGGGCCAATCTCAAGTCCTCAATGAGATGGAGCACTGGAAAGGGGTTCGTGTGGGAGGCCAGGGAGGCCAGCGCAGGCTCACAGCTCCCATCATGGATATCGGCACCTGTTTTAGTGCCTGGAACGAGAGAGAGGTGGGAACCTTGGTAAGAAGGGTGGACGCCACGGGCAAGGAACTGGCAAAGAGCAAAGAGAGAGGAGATAGGGGACGGAGATGGATAGGAAGCCTCGAAAACCACTTCTGCCTCAGCAGAACCATTCACACAGCAAACTCGGCAGAAACCATCTTTAATCCTGGACTGGGCCTGCCAGGAAGAGACGGGACCGAGGTGGACGAGTTGCCCAGGGAGACTGATGTACAGAAGCTCACACCCCTAGACAACTGGGAGAACACAGCCTGCCCTGACCCTGCCCCCAAAACACGCTAGCTAAAACAACGAGCTGCCATCCTCCCGCCTTTAGATTCCTAACTTTAAGTTAACGCGGTAGGGCCGTCCGAGCGGATGGCACTAAAAAGGCCCCCCTCCCTGTATGTGCGTCCCTCTCCTCTCCTCCCACAGTGGTTCCCGACTCCGGGCTGGCCCCGACTGCATCAGAGTGACACAGTACCAGCCCTGGTGAGCGTTTCCAGTGGACTGGAATCTGTCTGGATCTTCCTACTTGAGGGGATCTCTACATCCCCTTATGGACTCACACTTTACAGCCGTATGAGTTACTGTGTAATCCACATCTCCTCACCCCGTCATGGGCTGCGAAGCTCTGAGGCCAGGGTCCCTGGCCTCCCGGCCCCTCCCATTCCCCACCCCCCCATGCTGAAGGGGCATATGACTATCTGCACGCGTGCTCGGAGGAACAGCTAAGAGGGAGACAGCCTGGACTGGGTCAGCTCTTTCTAATTTCAAGCGTCCCAAACAAGATTGTTTTTGCCTTTCTGAACCTCACCGTTTAAGCAAACAAACAAAAAGTCTTCTTTGCATAACCACAGTGGTCTATTTTTCAGACCAAAAACCGGGGTGACACAGTCTGACAAAGGATTTCTGTGCTTCTTTCAGCAATAAAACACACTTCAGAAAATATGGTGTCGGCGGTGGAATTTCTAGGGCACTTGGATTGTTTATAAGGCCAATAGGAATCAGGGCTCTGCTGGAAAATGTGGGCAATAGGGCCACTGCATCCCCAGTTACACGCAAGGTCTGACGTCTAAATCTAGGTCCCTCCACCCTTCTAAGAGCCAGCTTCCTAGTTGCCACGGCAGTCTTCACAAGGAAAAATCCACACAGAAGGAAACAATTACTATTTGATTGCTGGTTTGCTTTCTGAAAGCACAGGATAGAGGGAATTGTGGGTTACAATCCACAAACAAGTCTATGGCTCTGGGGATCTGGGAAAGTGCCGATTACCCACACTCCAGTGTGTGCTCAGCAGTTTCTGGGCCCTGCAAATCCAATGGAGAGTTGACTGGGAAGGGCCACAGCCGACTTCAGGGAAGAAAATAGACTAAAATAGGGCAAGACGCCCCCCCCACCCCACCCTGCGTCTCCAAGCAAATGCCGAGTAATCCCTGACCATCCTAGACATGCTCCAACACGTACACCTTCATACATGGAGGATAAGTCAGGCCAGTCAGGCCAGGGGGAGGTGGGAAGACTGAGATTTTCATTAACTTTATGTCACTCTGTGGTGCTGGACAAGTCTCTTCCTTTCTCTGGGCCCCTCCCTGCTCTAAAGCCTTGGGATGCTTCCCTACTGTTCGAGGTGGGTGTGTGTACACATGTGTATCTGTGCCTATTTTTGTATGTGATTTATGTATACACAAAATATTTAACCCCCCCCCCTTTTTTTTAAAGATTTTATTTATTTTTTAACAGAGAGAGAGACACAGCGAGAGAGGGAGCACAAGCAGGGGGAGTGGGAGAGGGAGAAGCAGGCTTCCCGTGGAGCAGGGAGCCCGATGCAGGACTCGATCCCAGGACCCTGGGATCATGACCTGAGCCGAAGGCAGCCGCTTAACGACTGAGCCACCCAGGCGCCCAACCCCCCCCTTTTTTTTGTAATTTACGTCAACACACACGCTCACAAAATGGTCCAGAATGGTGAAACTCCTAGGGCCCAGCATTAGCAAAGGCAAAAATCGCCCAGAATATTCAATTCCATACTCCACACATTCCCTTCAGATGATTAGCTCCTATGGAAAAATTACAACCACAGAGGGAAACGAATCAAAACAGAACTACCAGATACACTAACAAAGAAGAAAATATATGCCCTCATACTTGAGGATAACAGAGCAAGATAAAAGAAGATAACATAACATATAACACAAAATATAAAAGATACAAGGTGTTACGCCCCAAATTACTTCTCAGAAAAAAGCAATTCACCTTATACTCAAACCCTAATAAAGTTTCTCTCTGGGGGCACCCTACCACTTTATTTTGAACAACAAAGCACTCTTTGGGGAAGATAGCAGAAAGGGTTTCAATTTTATTTGCACATTGAGTTTTACAAACTGTAGATGCCTGGGCCCCACATCACAGGTTCTAATTGGCCTGAGGTGTGACCTGGAAGAATAAAAAGCTCCCCAGATGATTTTAATGTGCAGCCCAAGTTGAAACCATTGCACTAGCAAATCGCCACAATCAATACTACATTTTGATGTTTAGGGAGGTCTCTTGGGAATCTTTATTTTAAGGGTGCAAAGACTAAAGCTTAATACAGAAGTAGTAATTATTAGAAGAAATAAGACCACATAAAATGGAAGCATAGGATTTTATTGAAAGCCTTTTAAATTTTTTTTTTTTTAAGATTTATTTATTTGCGAGAGAAAGAATGAGAGACAGAGAGCACGAGCGGGAGGAGGGTCAGAGGGAGAAGCAGACTCCCTGCTGAGCAGGGAGCCCGATGTGGGACTCGATCCAGGAACTCCAGGATCATGACCTGAGCCAAAGGCAGTCGTACTGAAAGCCTTTTAATGATTACTTCCAAAGGCAAGTTAAGTAAGTATGTGGTAATAATTAGGGTTATTTATATATGCTTTGCTTGTCCTCTACTTGAGCTCATAGTGGGATTACACATTTGCCCCTTAAAGTTACTTAAGGCCACATGCCTTCCTTTGGCCAATAAATATCAAAAAGTCTTTAAGAACCAATACATAAGTCCCCATATCTCTTCTACCTGCTCTGGCCTCTGGTAATGGTGGACTGAATCAGCCCATGTCCAAGAGTGATGATGACAGGGACCAGAGCTCCCAGCAGATCTAGGGGGAACTTAGAATACGAACAAGAAATGAACTATGCTGTTTCAAGCTACTCATCTTTTAGGCTGTTTCGCTGCAGTAACAGACAGTCCTATCTTCACTTATACAAAGTATGTATGTCATACAGTCACATATGTGGAAGATAAACTTTTCAAAAATGACCTTTTAATGGGTTCAAACTTAAGTGACCATCAACTTAATACAGGCTGCTCTATGTGTATGATGTTAACCACAAATCAAAAACTGGTAAAAGATATGCAAAAAATAAAGAGAAGGAATCCAAGTATATTAGTAAAGAAAGGCAGCAAATTGTGAGAAAAGAGCAAGAAAATAAAGGAACAGAGAAGAACTATAAAAACAACCACAAAACAAGTAACAAAATGGCAATAAGTACATACCTAACAATAATTACTTTAAATGCAAAATGGACTAAACACTCCAAACAAAAGACACAGGGTGACAGAATGGATAAAAAACAAGACCCATCTATATGCTGCCTACAACAGACTCATTTCAGACCTACAGACACATGCAGATTGAAAGTGAAGGGATACAAAAGCATTTATTGTGCAAATGGAAGTGAAAAGAAAGCTTAGGTAGCAATACTTATATCGGAGAAAATAGACTTTAAAACAAAGACTGTAACAAGAGAAAAAGAAGGATACTATATAATCAGAAAGGGAACAATCCAACAAGAAGATATAATAGTTGTAAGTATTTATGCACTCAACCTGGGAGCACCTAAATACATAAAGCAGCTAATAACAAACATAAAGGGAGTAATTGAGAGTAATATAGTAAGAGAAGGGGATTTTAACACCCCACTTACATCAATGGATAAATCATCCAAGCAGAAAATCAATAAGGGAACAGTGGCTTTGAATGACATACTGGACCAGATGGAGCTAACAGATATATTCAGGACATTCCATCTTAAAACAGTAGGATATGGGCGCCTGGGTGGCTCAGTTGGTTGAGCGACTGCCTTCGGCTCAGGTCATGATCCTGGAGTCCCGGGATCGAGTCCCACATCGGGCTCCCTGCTCAGCGAGGAGTCTGCTTCTCCCTCTGACCCTCCCCCCTCTCATGTGCTCTCTCTCTCTCTCATTCTCTCTCTCAAATAAATAAGTAAAATCTTTAAAAAAAAAAAAAAAACAGCAGGATACACATTCTTTTCAAGTGCATATGGAACATATTCCAGAATAGATCACATATTAGGTCACAAAACAAGTCTCAACAAATTTAAAAGCACTGAAGTCATACCATGCATCTTTTCCAACCATAATACTATGAAACTAGAAATCGACCACAAGAAAAAGTCTGAGAAGAACACAAATAAATGAAGGTTAAATAACATGCTACTAAACAATGAATGGGTCAAAGAGGAAATTTAAAAGACATGGAGACAAATGAAAATGAAAATACAATAGTCCAAAATCTTTGGAATACAGCAAAAGCTGTTCTAAGAGGGACATTTATAGCAATACAGGCCTACCTCAAGAAGCAAGAAAAGTCTCAAACAACCCATTCTTATACCTAAAGGAGTCAGAAAAAGAACAAACAAAACCCAAACCGAGTAGGAGGTAGGAAATAATAAGATTAGAGCAGAAATAAACAAAACAGAAACTAAAAAAACAATAGAACAGATCAATAAAACCAGGAACTGGTTCTTTGAAATGATCAATTAATATTAATAAACCTTTAGCCAGAGTCATCAAAGAGGAAGAAAGAGAGAGAGAGAGAGAGAGAGAAGGGACTCAAACAAAATCAGAAATGAAAGAGGGGAGATGAGTAACCGACACACAGAAATACAAAGAGCGTATTATGAAAAATATGCCAACAAACTGGAAAACCTAGAAGAA